CATACACACCCCACCAAAATGGCATTGCAGAAAGAATGAATAGGACTTTGTTAAATAAAGTTAGATGCATGCTTTTAAGTTCGGGCTTGCCCAAATTATTTTGGGGTGAAGCTGTTAAAACTGCTGCATATTTGATTAATAGAAGTCCTACAATTGCTTTAAATTTTGATGTGCTTGAATCTGTGTGGACACAAAAGCCCGTGATTTATTCTTATTTGAAAATATTTGGTTGTGCTGCATATCCTCATCAAAACACAGGTAAACTTGAACCTAGATCACTCAAATGTGTGTTTTTGGGCTATGCTGAAAATGTTAAAGGTTACAGGTTGTGGGTTTACGGGGAAAAATGTCACAAGGTTATCATAAGAAGGGATGTGGTCTTTAATGAGTTATGTATGCTATGTTTGGAAGGAAAAAAGGGAAATTTGACTAAAAATAATGTCCAAATTGAGGTGGAGCCTATTAAAATAGATACTACCAGTTCTGTCCCCTTAGAAACAGCAACTAATGAGGCTGACCAGAATGAAAATGAGCCTAATTTGGTCGAACCTGATTTATGTGATGACATAAATATACCTCTAGATGAATACCAGCTCACTAGAGATAGGGATAGGAGGCAAATTAGACCATCGGCTAGGTTCAATAGTGATGACTTTGTGTCTTTGTTCATTTACCAAGAAGAAATTGAATATGAACCTAGTTCCTATCATGAAGTCTTGAAATCTAAAGATTCTAAGCGGTGGTTGAGTGCTATGGAAGAAGAAATGTCTTCCTTATATAAGAATGAAACTTGGGAATTGGTTGACAAACCAAAGGATAAGAAACTAGTTGATTGCAAGTGGATTTATAAAATAAAGGAAGGGGAAGGTGGCACCAATAATGTTAGATACAAAGTTAGACTAGTTGCCAAGGGTTTCACACAAAAAGAAAGTGTGGACTATGATGAGATTTTTCCCCCGTGGTTAAATATACAACTATAAGATGTATTTTTGCTTTAGTTGTGCAATTTAAATGGAAACTTGATCAACTAGATATTATTATTGATTCTTTTCATTGATTGTATAGGTACTTGGAGCAAATGACATTATAAATGTCGGTGAAGCTCGTGGGTGCACTATAGCCTTAAATTTTGGAAGCAAGGTGGAGATTGTTGAGAATTCAACCTGCTGACCGTTCCTTGCTATTAATTGTGCTTCCAAAATTGAAGAAAATGTGTTTACAAAATAACAACTTCTTGAGTAGAGACTTTTATCCAGATTTCGACACCTGGCATCATGATGTCCATCAGATCAGAATCTATTGACTTGCAATATATAAATCTAGTGCAATTCTGACTGGGCCAGCAGCATCAATTTTTGAGAGATTAATTCATTTTTGAAGTCCGATCTCTGCTCTCTCTTTCTTCCTTGCGAAAAAGACCTTCTTCTTGGTGATTTAGGGTCTTTTATTTTGGATATTTTGGGGAGAAATATTTTAGGTTTTTGGGTCAAATTGTTGACCGTTTTCTTCCTATTTGGAGACTCCATTTTTGGTGATTTTCAAATTTGTGAGAGAGACTTTATTCTTGGTTTTAGAGACGGCTTCTTGGGTTCTCTCTTCTCGGTAAAGACTTCCTTCTCCTTTGTGGGTTAGGGTCGATTCTTGAGTGTTTTCAGCAAGTAAATCTGGGAAACCGTGTAATACTATAGATGCATATAGTAGGGTGCTCTTCTCTGTTGATTGTGTATGAATCTTAGTGATTCTATGAGGGCAGTTCGGTTTTGGTATTCTATGTGATCCAGATTTTGATTCCTTAGTGGAGTGAGGCGTGATTTGTGCCTTATTTTAAAGATAAGTCTTGGTGACTTTATTTCTGTTGTACTACTTGAATATTCTTGTATTTTATTGCTTGATTTTTGGGGCTTTATAATGCAACTGAGCTTTATCCATTTTTATGGATGCTCAACAGGGGAATAGGCGTTAGAAGTGGTCGTCGAACCTCTGGGGTTTCGGCCGAAAAAATCTTGTGTTCATTTTACAATTTTCTACACTTTATTTTACTGTTTGTTGTGTTTAGTTTAAATCTTGATTAATTCTTGGACGCTTCTCGACTTTTTAGATGCTTAATCATTATGTAGAATTGAAGCTGGATGAACAAGAATATACTACAAAGGCAGCCCCATAATCAACATGTAAAAGCTTCAAATTCAATACGTTTTTTGAAATAGATTTCACATTGCTTAGACAGATGCATTTTTTGGGTCTCATAGTTCTTAGAAAGGAGGACAATGCGTTAGGCTAGTTTCACATAGCAGCCAGTGAAAACCTCCTGCGCTCGACAGTAGAAGTACACATATAAATTCGAGTCGACTAGTGATTTTATATGTTGAGAGTCCGGTATGCATTTTGCAAGACTTCAATATACATATAATGTAGAGTGACGGAAAGTTTGACTGAGAAAGGGAACAAAAGAAGGAAGGCTACTAGATGGTGTTGGAATTTGAAATTTCATCTTAAAAGTTGACATTATTAAAGAGTAATATAAACATTTATATGTTTTTTAATATTTAGATTTTTAATCAATGTGAAATTTATCGCGTAAGCTAGTAATGCTTTCGGCCACTGGACTTTCGCCATCTAGGGTGCAACATTCGTACTACTTCGCCTGGCAACACGATACTTATATTGCTCTACTACAACCTCGTTTTCACGATTTAGGCTGCTCCCATTTCGTTCGCTGCTACTACGGGAATCGCTCTTGCTTTCTTTCCTCTGGCTACTAAGAACAATCCCTACATTCAAACTTCCTTTCTTACCATTAGCAAGAACTTGTTTCAACTGCTTATCATAAGGAATTCGAACAACACGCACACTAGAGACAGGACTAAGTAGCAAATGGGAATCACCTTTCTTTTTCTTTTCCCCCCGATTTTCCAATTTTTCGGTTTGCCTTTTTAATGTTTAAAGTTTAGTGGTCAATAGGATAATGATTTGATATTTCAGTGACCATTTGGAAAAAACTGAATTTTAACGGTCGATGGAATTACGATTTCATAAGTTTGACAATAATCAGAAAACTTCTAAAGTTTAATGGTCAATGGAAAACATTGTGCGAAGTTCAATGTACATTTTGATTTTTAACCCTGACAATTGCGGAAGTGGTGTTCTACTCAACAAAAATATCGTAGTTAATGAAATAAAACATTTCTTCTGTTTAAAAATAAAAAAATAAAAAAAGTTGTTTGATAATTTTTGTCATCCAAGATTGAAACTTTGGTTACAATTCTTGAATTCTCATAGAGTTCCTTTGTTGTTAAACATAAGTTGGGTTGTTTAATAATCTTCTCTCCTTGCTTGCTCTTATATTTGATGATAGGGCCGATTGATTGTGTGTAATTTTGAGTTTAGGAAAACTACCTACCGATGAATTAATGAAGGAAGAACGGTATAGAAGTTCTTAATATATAATTTCCAACAGCCAAGTTCAAATACAAAAAGCACTGATATGTTGCATTACACATTTAATATGATTCTGATATGTCAATTTTTTGATTGATTAGCGTTACACGTGCAAGATCCTGTTCGGCATTTTCCTCTCTTACTAGTCCCTCTCTCATACTATACCAGTTGTTCTATGTAACTTCTTCTTTCTCCCTTAGTGGCGCGTTCTCTCGCCATTTTTCTTCTCCAAATTCAGAATTGCATTCCGTTTCAATTAAATCTACAACATTAGCGAATATTAAGAGGAAAATGTTTTGAAATTCAGCGTTTGAGTGCATTTTGTTTTATCATTTTCCTTCCTTTTTACTGATCTCCAGGTAAAAGCAAAACCCAATTTACTTTCACTTCAAACCGAAGTTTTTTCAATTGGGTTTCCTTAAAAATGGAAAAAAAATTCAATTTTTACTTTTGAATGATGGCTAACGCTCAAGAAAATATAGAAATTTTCAATCTTTTGGATGGGTTTTTGGTAAATGGACAAGAACATGGACAGACGAAAAAATAGAGTTGAGTTTGGGTGTATCATCGAATTGAAGATTTGGAATAGACCTCATTAGTTCAAAGAGAGGTGAGATTCCTTGTTGGGTTGAAAAAACCTATGGTGGGTGATGGTTAGATGTGAAATTTGAATAGACAAAGAGACATTTTGTTTAAAAAGAAAAGAAATGAATATTTGGAAGATAAAATGGCCAAATTCGTTATAGAGAGAGAAGGCAATGTTATGATATATTTATGTGAAAATAACAAGAATAATTAAAATCACTTATTTTGCCAAATATTCTTTAAAGTTACTTTCAAACTATAATAGAACTTGCAACATGATTAGAATGCAGTAAGTACTCAGTAACTTCAGAAAATCCTTTTCTTCAAGACTTGATGAAAAGAATTCCAAGCCAACAGCGGTGTTTTACCTTGATGATGCAAATAAATAATTTTCAAATAGAATTGAAACAGAGCTAGAAAATTTGTTCTCTCTCATCTTCTTCTTCATTTTGTTAATCATGATTTCTTCAAGAGAGCTCTGTAGGGATGCTGCCAGGTTTTTTGTTTATATCTCTGTGTTTCTTTATGTATTTATCCTCAACTTTGTGTACTCTAAATGCCCAAAAAATTTCCAGTGGTCCATGATAAATAGAGATATTTTAATTCTCGTTAGCAAGAATTGCCCTGTTGTCATTCTTACTTTGGGCAACAGTTTTTGGGCTAATATTGTATATAATTTTTTTTGCACCAATCCTAAGCCGCGGAATAATTTTTGCTAAAAAATCAAATTTTAAATAAATTTTGATAAAAAAAATAATAATAGTAAAATGCTCCATAAAATACGTGTTTGAAAGTAAATTTTGAAAAATGAAGATCAAACATGAGCTAAATGATATGCAGACAGGAGGGAATGAGAGAGAGATTATAACGTATTGCTTATTTTTCTATTATCACAAATTAAAATCGTATATTCTCATTGCGTTGCATAGCCAAATCAAAACTGGATTCAAACAGCTAAAATCAAACAAGAATTTTTGAATTAAAGTCCATGTAACTCTCTAATACTTCCTGAATCAATTGAATGTTACAAAGGCATCCTCTGATATTTTTACAATCGTAAAGGCTCCTAAATTAGTAATATAATCACTTACAACACGATTGAAGAGCGAATATTTACATCTTCCACAACACCTTATTAATCCAAAAGAAAGCTGAATTCATGGCCTTCGAGTCGAAAAAGGGTCATCAGTAAAGGAAGGACATGATCTCAAAGGTCACAACTGGTTTCAACTTTACACAAAGATCTCATGCTCTTATCAATAACTCGTAAACATTACTATTGTTATCACCTGAAACGCGTTTCAACATTTCAAAACTTTTACGACTTCCTAGAAAATTAATCCGCTTGAATTCCAGGGTGTTTTGTTTACTGGAGTATACCGCTCGAAGCCGGTCAGCATGCCTCGAGTCCGTGTGAATAGCTACTTCTATTTCCTCGGTCAACATATTCTCCTATGAGAAAAACAAGAAATATATTAATTGTGTACAAGACTCGACTCCAAGTCACGAACTGAAAACCATTCTGCTTAAAGACATTATAGCCAACCTGTTACAGTGGCCGAAGCAATTAGCCAATGCGAAAAGAGAATCATATACCTGGTAAAATGTATAGATATGATCCAACACCTGCAAACATGTAAAGCCTTTGTCACTAAAGAATGTCCTTGATCTCGGGCCCATCTCTGAAAAACGATCAATTGGAAACAGCAAAGTGAGGAAGTGACTTTTGAATATTAACTCTGACTTCTCACTGCAATTGAAGCCACAAATACAGAATCGTGTTAGACCAAAAGCAGAAAGTGTTTTCACAAGACAATATTTTATGGGCTGAAACAGAAAAGCAAGAGTTCAATAGCGATAGCGATCAATGACCTTTCAGTAAGTGGTCGGGATAAGTTGACAAATGAAGCCTCCGATTCTTTACCATTCGCCTTAGCATCAAACAACATGGTCGTGTGCTCTTCATCGGCATTCTCAAAACTTGAAGAGTCTGTATAGATAGAAGCAGTCGAAGTTGGCTCAGATATTGACCAGCAGATAGAATCCAAAAGGCTGCTTGGCGTTATGGGACGTATTGGAATTTGACATGTCTGCAATTACAAACGCATTGGATTATAACGATTTTCATATCTAAAACACATTTTTGATTCATCAATGCAATCATTTCAAATTACGCAATATGCATTAGCCTAAAACTAATGATTCACAGTTTACCTGCATCCGGTTAGCCCGTCGCTTTCTGACCCCTTCTTTAGCGAAGTGTGCAATATTTTTTCTGTCTTCATGTCTTACTTTAATTACAGAACCAGGTGCACCTTGAGGACCAGTGAACCCCTTAACTTCCTAAAGATAATCAGTTAAGGCTCAATAAATGAGAAAGTAATTAAGTGGGAATAATACCACTAGAATTTATTTAAATACTGCTTCGAAGTTTGTATGATGGGGTCCAAAGATCGAATTCTATTTGGAAGAAGAAGAAGAAGATATATGGTGACATAAGCAACATCAAACTGTTTGTACCAAAATATTTCAAATACCAATATAACAAGTCAGCCATTTTGAGGCTTCTTGTCTGACAATTATTTCAAAGCAGATCAACCAAGCAAAGCAAATTGTTGACTCAGAAAGTCCAACCAGTTTAAGAGCATAATTTAAAGGGAAAATTGTAGCCAAGGTACCAAACCTTTCGTTTATCAGCAGAATTTGCCCAAATCTTTTATTCGTGCCACCGTGAGTACCAAACCTTTAAAAAATTTGCAGCTCAGGTCCAAATTGACAATTTCCGTTAATTTGACCCCAAAAATCGTCAATTGACCCCATAAATTAAAAAATTAATAATTTGACCACATAAGACAAGAATAAAATTTTCATTTTACCATTTTAATATAAAACAATAAGAAAAGAAAAAAGGGAAAATTGGTCATCTCCTTCAACAATCCCAACCTCCATCTCCCAATCCCACCAAAACACAGCACCACCCACCATCGCCTCCCATAGCCACAGCCAAAGCCACCAAATCAATCCACCATTTTCTCCCTCAACAACGACCCTCCACGCCATTTAAGTAAATTCAATCCACGCCCAATGAGCTCAGAGATGCGGTCAACAGCATGTTTCACGGTGAAACCCATTACCAGCCCAACAACCATTATTATCATCATTAACTATAATACAAGCACAAGAAAATACAATACTTTGGGAGGCTCCAAGAATGACGCAATTTTCCTGTGTGGATCCAAAATCCGATCTCCATTCAAGGAAATTGAGTGGCAGTGAGATTCAAATATCCGGTCTCAGCTCTGAAATTACTGTTGTGATATGCTCTCATTTGGTACTAAAAAGAAATTGTTGTGAGATAATAGCTTTTGATTGTTGTGAGATAATAGCTTTTGATTGAACGGCGTAGAAGGTCGGTGAAGATGCACAGAGAAAGGAAGGAGTTTAAGAGAAGTGGAGATGAAGTGAATGGCGGTATGGCCCGACGGTGGTGGCACTACCGGCGGTGGGTTGCGGGTGTTATGTGGCGAGACTGGTTTTCCCCATTTTTGGGTAGGTGGGGATGGGAAGAAATGGAGACAGAGAGGTTATTATATTTTTTTTCATTTTTCTTTTAGTTTGATTAATTAATTAATTTACATTAAATTTGTAAAGTTACCATTTACCCTTGTCTTATGTGGTTAAATTATTAAAATTTTAATTTATGGGGTCAACTAACAGAAAATGTCAATTTTGACTTGAGCTGCAAATTTTTTAAAGGTTTGGTACTCACGGTAGCACAAATGAAAGGTTTGGACAAAGTATACTAATAAACGAAAGGTTTGGTACTTGGCTGCAATTTTCGCTAATTTAAATTCGATTTACAATGACTCACTAAAATCTTCTAAGTGAATAAATGTTAACATGAATCATAGAAATCCATGGGCTCATTGGCTTGAATGGATTCTACATACAAAATATGGATCCAGTGAGGGTGAATTAACAAACGTCCTAAAGGTGTTAAGTTCCCTAAAATATTTTGTCCATTACTGTTAAAAAAGAGAATAAAGCTTACTGGTTGAACACAAAATGAAAATATTGGAATTCTGAACTTAGCAAAACAGGGAAGCAATAAGAAAGGGGGGGGGGGGGGGGG